ATAGACAAGATCGTGAACAAGAATCTCTAACACGTATTGCTATAGTAAATAATGATCGATGTAAACCTAAAAAATGTAATCAAGAATGTAAACGATCATGGTTTGTTTATTAAATCTTATATTTTATTTTAATATTTTATTAAATTCTCATTATTTTAGTCCAGTTAATAAAACAGGAAAATTATGTATTGAAGTAAAACTTGAATCAACTAATTCAAATATATCAGAAGAATTATGTATTGGTTGTGGTATATGTGTAAAGAAATGTCCATTCGATGCAATAAGTATTATTAATTTACCAAGTAATCTTGATAAAGATACAACTCATCGTTATGGATTGAATTCATTTAAATTACATCGTTTACCAACACCACGACACGGACAAGTTTTAGGTCTTGTTGGTTCAAATGGTACAGGTAAAACAACAGCATTAAAAATTTTAGCTGGAAAATTAAAACCTAATTTGGGTAGATATTCGGTATTGAAAATAAAAAGATCTTATTTTAATTTTAATATTATACATTCAATTTTCATTCAAATTTAGACACAACCAGATTGGCAGGATATAATAAAATATTTTCGTGGTAGCGAATTACAAAGTTATTTTACAAAAATTCTTGAAGAAAATCTTAAAACTGTATTCAAAAGGCAAGATGTCGATCGAACTCCACAATTTGTACAAGTAAAATGAATTTGATCGATCAATTTCTTATTTTCTAAAAGATTGTTGTTGTTCTACTAGGGTATTGTACGTAATATATTAGAAAGTATAGACGAAATGGATAATCAAGATCAAATATATGAATCATTTGATTTATCAAATGTTAAAGATCGACAAATATCCGATTTATCCGGTGGAGAATTACAAAGATTTACATGTGCCATGACCTGTATACAAAAAGGAGATATATTCATATTCGATGAACCGTCAAGTTATCTTGATATTAAACAACGCTTAAAAGCTGCTGTGGCTATTCGAAATCTTATTCGAGAAAATCGGTAAGTTGAATTGATTGTTTTTTTTTTTAGTAGCAGTATATCAATACACTTCGTAGATATTTATTTATTGAAAACGATGAATTTTATTTTTAGTCAAATGGATAAGAAGCAAATATATATCAAGATCATGATGAATTATTCATATATATATATATTCTTAAGAGAAAATCGTATATTTTTAGGGTAATTTGAAATAAAATTCTTTCGTATATCTCAACAATACGAAGAAGATTTATTATCCTATGTCAACTCTAAAATATGATTAGAATGAAATCTTGTCTTCTATATATC